TAAGAGTCTTGCTCCACAAGAGGGCCACGGTATCAACATCAAAGAAGGTGGCAAAACCCATGAGTGCTAGTTGACGAACAGAAAGTAACTTGTATGCAAGGGACTCAACAAGCATGACCTTCTCGATTGTAAGATCATGAGAAATGACAACCTTGCCGAGTCCTAATACCTTAGAGGACAAGGCGTCACCCCACTCGACATTGGTGGGCATGGATGGAATCTTTTTCATGTCCACCGCCAAGTCCTTGCTTCCGGTCATATGATTAGTAGCTCCACTATCGAGCAACCATGATCCCCCACCGGAAGCAAACACCTACAAGAGATCAATGCTTGGTTTTAGGTACCCATTTTGTGATGTGTCCTTTGATGTTAGTAACAAGGGTCTTAGGAACCCAAATAGACCATTCAATGTACTCATAAGGAGAACCAACAAATTTGGCATAAACATGCCCATCACTAGCACGGCACAACACATAAGAAGGGTTAAAGTCGCCGGCTTTGTTGGGAAGGGAAGCGTTTCCCTTCTTGGCATCACTACCCCTCACGGTGTTCTTCTTCTTCTCCTTAGTAGCACCCTCTCCCTCCACAATGGTTTGCTTGAGAGGAGGAGGTCGTTTGTCCTTGTCATTCTTCTTCTTGTTCTTGGACTTGGGCACGTACCCAATCCCTTCTTTGGCCATAACTTCCTTTTGGTTGCTCAAAAGGTCGTTGAGGTTCTTCTCGCCTTGTATGCAAGACACAAGACCTTTCTCAAGTTGCTCCTTCAACTTAGCGTTCTCCTCAACAAGATGCACATGCTCACAACATGGGTTAGTAGCATTTGCATTATCAATTAACATCATATGAGGAAAAGTGGCTTTCTCCTTGGTTAGCTTTACTTGAAGTTGATCATGAGACTCTTTGAGGCTAGCATGAGCACCCTTCAAGATATTGTGAGCCTTGTCAAGTAACTCAAACTCCTCTTTGAGTCTAGCAAGATCAACCCCAAGCTTGTCCTTCTCGGAGTTTAGCACACGAGAAACAACAAGAGCATGATCAAAATCTTTCTTTAACTTAGCGTGATCAATGTTGTGTGACTCCTCAAGAGCCAAATTAAGACCACGCTCTTCCTCAAGAGCATTGGAAAGATCCGAAATCTCATCAGCATAGTCATGACTATGCCCCTCCATCTTGGAGATAGTATCTTCGTGAGCCTCGATCATGTCATTGGCTTCACCAAGTTGTTCCAAGAGAGCAACGAAGTGCTTCTTGGATTTACCCTTGATTTTACCCATAAAGGACTCAAACCCATTCTCCTCCACATTAGATCCCTCATATTCATCAATGCAATCCGTCAAAGAAGGATTATTAATGATGGTAGTTTTGATGTTGGGGGTTACCTTGTTGGTGGCTTTATCCATGAGGCACTTGGCGGTGATGTTCTCATTGGGTGAGTCAAAGAGTGACACCCGTGGACTTGTCGCAATGGCAACGGAGGCCATGACAACCGACTCACCATCTTCATCTTCATCATCATCATCATCCTCATTGTACTCTTCTTGTACCACCAACACCTTGGGGGGAGTCTTCTTGGTGAAGTTGCTCTTGTTGGGGAAAGACTTGGCTTTGTCCTTTCGGATGAGCTTGCCACCATTGTCTTCCCTCTTCTCATAAGGGCATTCCGCAACAAAATGACTCACATTGCCACAATTATAGAAAGTCCTCATACGTTGCTTGACCTTCGTGCCACTTGAGTTGTTCTTGTTGAAGTTGGGCCTTGAGTTCTTCTTGCTCCAAAATTGCCTTGAAGCAAGAGCCATGTGTTCATGATAGGCATACTTTGTATCTTCGGGGTTGCTCTCCTCTTCTTCCTCTTCGTCCTCTTCTTCCACCCTAACCTTGGCTTTTAATGCAAGGTTGGGCTTCTTTGCTCTTTGAGAACATAGCACCGCATTGTCAGCGGTTTTGTCCAAGATGCTCATACCCACAATCTCATCCAACACTTCACTTGAGGACAAGGTGTGGAAGTCCGACCTTTGATGAATGACGGAGGACATGGCCTTGTGGTAAGGCATCATTGCCTTGAGGAATTTGCGCTTGATCCAATTGTCATCCGTGTCCTTGCTCCCATGATCTCGGAGTGAGACCGCGAGTTTGGTTACTCTCCGGTAAAGCTCACGAGGTTCTTCATCTTCCTTCATAGCAAACTCATCGGCTTCATCTTGCACCACTTCATAGTTGGAGCATTGAATGCTTGCGCTTCCCCTGTAGAGGGAAACAATTTGGTGCCATGCATCTTTGGCCATGGCGAAGGGCCGGAGGTGAGGAAGATCTTCGGATGGAATAGCATCTTGGATGATGAAGAGAGCATTATCATTGAATTGATTATCCGCGGCTTCTCTAGGAGTGAAGTTGCTTCGGTCATGCAGATAGAAACCTTCTTCAATGATTCTCCAAAGATTAGTATTCACATGATTTAAATGACGCTTAAAACGATAGACCCAAGAATCAAAGTCCTCATTTTTCACAATCTTAGGGGGAGGACCGGCATGATTCAAATGAGTGGAAGGAATCGGTCCACCATAAACAAGTGGAGGTTCCACATGGGCAAAGATGCCAATGCCATTTTTACCACTAGAGGAAGGAGCCTTTTCACTAGTAGCTTCCCCCTTGTCGGAGTTAGCATCCATCACCTTGTTGGTGGGATCACCCACTTTCAACGGTGCGGCGGATAGTTTAAGCCCTTCTATGAATTTATTAAACATGCTTTCAACCTCGGTCATCATGGAGGTTTTCAATGTGTCCAAAGACACATTGAATTCCTCACGAGAGACCGCAGTTCCTCCATCACCCATAGGCGAGATCGGATTCACACCGGAGTGCTCCTCCACACCGTCTATGGTGTCAACCATACTCTTTGGACGGCAAAGTCCTTAGTAAAGAGACGAGGCACTGATACCAATTGAAAGGATCGATATAGTTGACTAGAGGGGGGGTGAACAGGCAACTAACAATTTTTTGCTTTTCTTTACCAAATTAAACTTTGCATCAAAGTAGGTTGTCTAGATATGCAACTAGGTGAGCAACCTATATGATGCAACAACACCAAGCACACAAGAAAGCAAGGGAAATAACACAAATAAGCTTGCACAAGTAAAGGTACGAGATAACCAAGAGTGGAGCCGGTGAAGACGAGGTGTGTTACCGAAGTTCCTTCCTTTTGAGAGGAAGTACGCCTCTGTTGGAGCGGTGTGGAGGCACAATGCTCCCCAAGAAGCCACTAGGGCCACCTCACGCCCTCACACGATGCGAGATGTCGTGATTCCACTATTGGTGCCCTTGGAGGCAGCGACCGGACCTTTACAAACAAGGTTGGGGCAATCTCCACAACTTAATCGGAGGCTCCCAACAACACCACGAAGCTTCACCACGATGAAATATGGCTTCGCGGTGACCTCAACCGTCTAGGGTACTCAAACACCCAAAAGTAACAAGATCCGCAAGGGATTAGTGGGGGGAATCGAATTTCTCTTGGTGGAAGTGTAGATCGAGGCCTTCTCAACCAATCCCTAGAAAACCAACAAGTTTGATTGGCTAGGGATAGAGATCGCGCGAAAATGGAGCTTGGAGCAACAATGGAGCTTAGGGTTACAAGAGGTGGTCAACTCGGAGAAGAAGACACCCCTTATATAGTGGAGAGACAAATCCAACCGTTATCCACTTAACCAGCCCGCGACCTGCGGTACTACCGCAGCAAGCCGCGGTACTACCGTGGCCATGGCAGGAGCTAGCCCAGGCCTGTAGCAACGAAGCTGGGGCGGTACTGCTGCTCGCGCGGTACTACTGCACCCCCTTGCGGTACTACCGCAAGGCAGGATTGGACCAGCCTGGGAAGGGCGCGGACAAATAAAGAAACATCCGTGGCAACTTCCGCTGATTTTCAAACAGTGCAAAAATCCGACACGGTACTACCACTCAAGGCACGCGGTACTACCGCGCAGGGAGCTGATGTAAAAAATTACATCCGCCCCTACTTCCGCTTATGATGCTGTGCCGGACCAGGACTCACGGTACTATGACTCTCAAGGAGCGGTACTACCGTGACCACCTGCGGTACTACCACAAAGGCCTGCGGTACTACCGCTCCGATGAGCAGTACTACCTCAAGCCCCAGAACAACAACACTAGGAATTCTTCTTTTTGCACAAACACGAAGAAACGGAGGATGCTCCAAAGTGCTAAGGGAAAGGCGGTGCAAAAAGGAGTAAACGTGTACGTGACGATTCCACCCAAACCTTTCCAAAGCGGACCCCCTCTTAATAGTACGGCTTTCCTACGACTCAAATCCACCGAAAAAGGAACGTAGAAAAATGTCGTCTTCAATAATCTTCGAGGGGCTCCTAACCGTCTTGTGCCTAGTAATGAAATATCTGAAATACTCGAGGTACACGATTAGTCCGCAAATGCATTGTCATCAATCACCAAAACACCTTAGGATAAATATGCCCTTACACCCTCCTTTGTTTGTACACAGTCTATTGTGGCTAGCTCGATGTGCATGTTACCTGGGCTGGATTGACATTTAATTATGGTCATGTTGGTGATTATGATTAAGGTGTTG